GGTGACTCTGCGATCGGCGTAGTGGGGAAGGAGGCGCCGTTCGCACAGTGTCCCTGATTGGGACCAATTTTGGTTCCAGTCGGGGTACACTTTTTGGTCCAACTTTCTCCGAATTGAATTCCGTTTGCACCGTTGCGATCGGGCAGTTAAACTCTATCTAACGATATAATTTTTATATTTATTTGTAATACTATTTCCGACATCATATTTTTGGGTGTTTGACTTTAATAGAGTCAAAATTGGTTTAATTGACCTTTCTCATAAAAGGTTCTCTCATTTAATTCATATCAATTATTCTCATGATTTATTTCAATAAATCATTACAAAGTTCACATCATAATTAATTAATTTATTTATTCTTGATTTGGCTCTGTACTCAGGTTCCCAATCAAGACCACACAAATAGTCCACATATTGGATTTATCTCGATTAGACTTATCCAGATTTTGATATTGGATATTAAAAAATATTTCATATCGGCCCAAAGCCCAATAATAATCAAAACAAATTTGTTTAATCGAATAATTATTTAATAATAATTCTAGGGTATGTTTCGGGGCGTTACATAAGTAGTAGGAAATCATTTTTTAGAAAAAATGATTATATTTCCTATAGATGAATGTCTATTTTCTTTGTAATTGCTTGAGTTCTCTAATTCTACAAACAAAGCAAAAAACTACTATCATCTCGCCCCCCTTCCTTAAACCTTATAAAACAAAGCTCTATAATAAAAATTTGATATCTATTGTGTGTGAAAATAATATAATTATGTCACCTCTAATTTTGTAAAACTTTTGATTTCATTTTTAAATATGTATTTTTATTATTTAACTTTACACGAATCATCATATCAAGTAAATTAAAACTAATTTTATTCAAACATCGTAACGAAGAAATTTTGTGGATGAAGAGAGTATTTATTTTTAAAAAATCATACACTAGTAAACATTTCCGTAAAATTAATTAAAATTTCGTACTTTAAATTCTAAAAATATTTTTTAAAATAAATTTTCAATAATAATTCAAGATAATAACATAATTTATAGATCTTTTGATGTAGTATGATTAGATATATAATTGATATCACTATATTATTTTGGAAAATTATTTTAAATAATCCCATCTTTTCATCACTTTTTTTCAAAAAAAATCTCACTTTTCACTGTCATCGAAAATAATCTCACTTATTTGCATGTGTGCGAGTTTTGGGCCACTGTTAAAAGAACTAACGGCCACTTAACAGGATTTTTTGAAAAATAAATGAAAGGTGGTATTATTTTAGGTAAATTTATTTTTTAATTTTTTGACATGCAAATTTTTTTTTAAGGATAAGAACCAAATTCAGATATTAAGGATTAAGAATATAGAATAACTGCTCGTATTTTTCTCAACCTAATAACGCACAATGTGTCAATGCATCTGCTTTCTTTGGAGTCAAACTTGGGAGAAGTTCTATTCATAATCATTTATATTTTAAAAAAAAGGATAAGCTTCATCCCTGAGGGCCTCTAAGACCCGGTCAAATACTTATTGAGAGAAGATAAATTAAACTTTGAATCCAGTACTTATAGAGGCCTCATGCATAGCATAATTGTCTTCCATCGTAGTTGTTTATAATCAAACTCGGATCTTACCTCTTGGCAATCTTTACTTTTGTCAACTACGCAACACGGTGGAACGAACTTTTTAAATTTTAAATTTTAAATTTTAAATTTTAAACTTTAAGTTTTAAATTTTAAGTTTTAAATTTTAAATTTTAAATTTTAAATTTTAAATTTTAAATTTTAAATTTTAAATTTTAAATTTTAAATTTTAATTAAATTTTAAATTTTAAATTTTAAATTTTAAATTTTAAATTTTAAATTTTAAAATTTAAAATTTAAAATTTAAAATTTAAAATTTAAAATTTAAAATTTTTTAAATTTTAAATTTTAAATTTTAAATTTTAAATTTTAAATTTTAAATTTTAAATTTTAAATTTTAAATTTTAAATTTTAAATTTTAAATTTTAAATTTTAAATTTTAAATTTTAAATTTTAAATTTTAAATTTTAAATTTTAAATTTTAAATTTTAAATTTTAAATTTTAAATTTTAAATTTTAAATTTTAA